TGTATGGGGTAATCTGTATCACCAAATATAGGGCCACCAAACATCCATTCTGATAAAAATTTGATTTAATTAATTTGTATTTTTAAGACTCAGAATGGAAGTAATTTTTCTGTGTGGCGAATGAACTGAAATTAATAAATAATTCTGTGCCCGTACGTATATTATATATGATACTTGCGTTTTACAAGTTTGTCTGAAATAAATAGAGGCGTTAATTTTTACAATATGCATTCTTATGGAGTACCGGAATGTTACATTTTAATATCACTAAAACTGGATAATTAACAATGTCTCTAAGATTCTACTCGTAATTCTAAAGCATATTCTAGAAGTTTTTCTAATTGGAAGACTCCCTTTACTTACCAGACCATTAGCGCTTGGTGCTGTGAGTTTGCAGAACAAGGACTAAAAATACGAGCTTGTTGTATACTGTCCGTGTTATTCTTCTTGGCCTCTAGCTGGCGTCTTAGGGGAATGTAGGGGAAAGTAGTGGGAGAACGTTCTTAGAAGCAACGTACATACTTCACAGCAGCATGCTGGTCCGCAACTACTAGTCTAACGAAAAACATCTGCTGTACGTACACAATACTCAAGACACGCACAAGACAACTCCGGATTTTTTTAGAACTATGGGACTACCTTCACTTCTGTACTTCGCTATACTCCTTAAATATGATATCCTCAGAGCTCTAATATTATGGCTTTCCGTGAGGATTTGTCGATTATTATTTTTGTCCGTATAAAGCATAACCTTATTAACACTTTTGTTACATTTGATGGGCTCCCTGTAAACCCGACTGACTGGGCCAACTTCGAATGGATATTCTTTGCTTGTCGATGATATAAAAGTCATTAACAGTCATACGAATAACTCATTAATTGAAGTTGTCCAGCTTCGATTTAGGTGATGATACAAGTTCTCCTTATGAGCAGTCGTGAACGAAGTGGATGCACCGGATTCTATGATTTAAATTTCTTTCACTATTCTTCTAATAGACCTCCTATCGCCTCTGCTACTCCTTCCTGGGATTTCTTGAGGCTCGTAGGAACTCCTGTATCGGCCTCTTTTTTCATAAATTACATTGACCACAACCAATAGCGTCTGGCTACAAATAACTTTGCCCTGAAATTTACTTTGTATAGGAGACATCTTAGAAGCAACGGAATATTTGTCTGTACTTAGTATCACAAATCGGCAGTGTCAGTAAAACGACCTCAAGTGTCCGCAGCTCCAACACAACTAACCCAAACACCCCTTTGTGAAGTAATATTGGAATGTGAGCTCGCCCAAACGCAAAGCGCACCCACAAACGAGAGACTTGTAAGAATAACATGGACTGTACGAACGTGAAGCAAGCAACACTGCATTCATTGTTCGTAACGAGTGAAAAAGTTCCGGAAAGTTGCTGTGAATTATTGATGGAGCTGATCGTATCACGCTGTGTCGTGTGTCATTTGTTGTGTGTGTGTGAGGGGGGGGGTGGGAGAATTTGACTTCGATTGAATAACAGGTATGACCATAATAGAAACTGGTCACTTCAAGCGACTTCCATAAAATTTTGAAAATAACTTTATTGAAAAGAATAACAATCATGTCAGTCGAACACAAGGGCGACACTATTTCTCTCTGATATTACGATTCACAAACACAACTAAGTGAATTTGTAACAACAAACATTGTGCGTAAGAAAATTTAACACTAACCAATTTATTGAATGTAGCAAGTCTTTTCAACTACCACTGTAAGCGTCCGGCATATGAAAATGTTGGTATAAATAAAGAGACGTAATAAATTAACCGAATCCAATTATTTAATAAATAAACAGGAGTTGCAGTACATTAATTTAATATAATCAGAATTACGCCTATTCAAAAGTCTGGAATATACGAATGTGTTTTGTTATATAAGCGCCACAGTAACATAAACCATACATAATCAACATAAAATTAACCAAGCATAAATTTACAAAATGTGAAACTATGAAATACTCTGATTAATAATCATTAAATTAAATCTAAATAAATTATTAATAATTTTTGGATTGTGGTATATTTCAGACGTTCATTACTTTTTTAAAATTATTATTCCACCTTTACCGTAAGATAGCAATCATTATAATGAATCTAGGAGGATAATACAGAATATTAAATTAACTTAAATATTAAATGTAAACCGTGTATGTTAATTAAGTAACCAAACTAATATTGTAAAATCAGAACCCGATGATTTTAACATCGCTAATACTAAGGCCCGCCAATATCACGACAGTGATGATGTATTATTATACTTGGTAAATAAGAAAAGCAGTTTAACACGAAGTTGGATTAAAACCCATTTCCTTCCGGAGTGTCGGTAATGTAACAGAATATGCTTCTAACAGAGGTCTTTAATCTCATTTGTAAGTCCCTTGATGTAAAAGGCCAGTACTCTAGAGACAAAATTAATAAATTCTCTAACTGAAAATACTTCTGGGACTACGCACATTGATATTTACAATCTGAACAGCATAAATAACACAAGCCCACTAACTATTTACAGCTTTGCTGTGCCTAGGCTTATTTAAGATTAATATTTTTATTCAGACAGATGATATAGCTGGTCATAGTGGCCACGCGGTCTGAGGCGTGACCCTTGTTCACTGGGACACTGGGACCATGGGTCCGTGTCTTTCCGTTTGTAATGTGCTGTCCTGTATGGGTAGACGGGCTGACCACTCAATGTCTAAGAAGTAAAAGGTCAAGGACCATCAAGGGCTGTAGAGCCCAGATGATGATATGAAAATGATGATGATAACAATGACAATAACATTTGGCCAACATCCCGGGAAAACACGATATTAAGGAACTTCAGAAAACAGCCATTCCAGGAAAATCACACATCACCCGAAAGACGCTGAGGTAAAATATATAAAGCCTCACGCGAAATCTGTATAATTTATGTAACACGTATTAAAACAAAATGTATTTCAGAAATAGCTGCTGCAATATGCACTTCAGGGGCAAGGTTTATCTCAGGTACATAGAAGTAAATACCCTGTAAAATGTTGAATAGTTGGAATAATAGTCATTGAAATACTGAGAATGTGGAAAGTGAAAACACAAGTAATCCCAATAATTATAGGAGCAACTGGAACTGTCTCCAAGTCACTTAGAAAATACTTTGTCAACATCCCGGGCGAACACAACATCAGGGAACTTCAGTAAACTGAAATTTTAGGATCTTCATACATCATTCGAAAGACGCCTAAGTAAAATATATAGCCATCCCTCACAATAAAACTATATAATACATGTAACACATATTAAAAACAAAATGTATTTCGGAAATAGCTGCTGCACTATGTAGGTACCTCAGCGGCAAGGTTTGTCTCGGGTACTTAGAAGTAAATACCCTATAAAGTGGTGAATAGGTGGAATAATATTAATAATAATATGATAGTAATCATTCTACTGCAAGTTTTAAAAATGTCGCGATAGCTCATCAATAAAATTCATTGCTTTACTTTTTGAACAACGCTATTTCAACTGTATATAGAAACTTATACGGTATGAATAGATAACCATGAAACATAAGTTGGTACTACTTCAAGGTACTAGACTTGTTTTAGTTTTACACGAAAGACTGAAAAAAACCATGAGAGCATGAAGATAAATAATTAGACCCTCATTCAAACCGGAGAGGTTTCTATATACAAATTTAGGAGCTTTGCTACTCTACCTTGTACATTCTTAAGATATACTGGGATACTGGGGGATAGTGGGAACGACCCGTTCTTCAAGTGCCTGAGCACTTAAGATATACATACAGAATATTAGCGGTATACCTAAAATGTACATTTGACTTGTGAACGCCAGAATTAGATAGGAATAAAATTTTAAAATGGATCTTAAAGTAATATAGGTTAATTCATTACTCCATACTAACAAAATAGGCCTACTTAATTTTAGGATTCCACAAAAGGTTGGAAATTCCTCGGACAGATAAGAAACTATCAGCGTCTCAAAATTAAACTGCTTCTGCAGATACCTAGCAATGATAATGCAAAGCTCTGTATGTAGCACGTAATTATGCTGCTTAAAATGGAAGTGTTGTATACAAATTGGACAGTGGCAAAGGGGTCATCGGACAGAATGAAATCCCACGGTGATCCAAATCCGTGACTACTCGCGTCGGATTGTAGCTCTAGAATCTGCAGTAATTTGGAATAAGGACACGCATGACCGTGCGTGTTGCTTAACGCTCGTTAGCATGCGAACTAGTACGTTCGGAACGACTGTTCTAAACTCGAATTAAGCTGAAACTGCTCTCCTGCGGAATCTTTCGAGTTGATTACTTAAATTAACTTTGAAGTTCATTTTCACACAATTTAGACCAAAGTTACCGTAATAAACCACTTCGTACAGGAGGCATGCACTCAGACAGAGATGTTCAGACCTCTGTAGAAAGGACGCGTTTTTAATTCTTCGAGGCATTTGGACATGGATTCTTTTTGAATATCTGCTTACTTCACTGCAATAGAATAAATTGTGAAAATATACCGGGAGGGATTCCAGCCGACATCGGTTAGTATAACTCAAATATTTCAGTTGTCGTATATGTACACGACAGACAAATAATTAACATAATGTCTTTAGAAAAGCTTATCTCACTTCACACTGTGGCAACAGAACACTAAGATTCCAAACCGCTAACACCGAAGCCAGCTTAACATATTCTTGTAAGATAGGCTACGCCCTAATTTTATCCTCCCGTGCCCTTTGACTTCCAAGCGGTCATTTTAAACACCTTCCTAACAACAATTCTGTGCTTATGTTTATAGCCTTGTTTTTCCTATCCCGTTGTAGACTTATAATATGAACATTTTTTTAGGCTGTTACAGCTAGACCAAAATAATACTTCTGAATCACAGTTTATCTACGACGCATCTGTGAATTCGTGATATTGTCCCGTCTTTTTCAAGAAGACACACAGTTGCCACTCTGT